TGGGAGGATTGCTTGAGCCCTGGAGTTGAGGCCAGCCTGGGCAATATAATGAGATCCTACTGTACTACTGTACTATAATAGTATTTTTGTTTATGTATTACTGCTTTTATTGTTTTCTACAACATATTTTTAAAAATTAATCTTTGAAATAAAAAACATTTATTTCTGGATCTATAATCAGGACAATTTGCTATGATGTGAGGAATACTAGAACTGAGGCCCAGAAAAAGGGGTTCAGAGGAAGCAAGAGTCAAGCTTGAGTCAGGATAGGCAACAGTCCTCTAAGGTGGGAAACTAGGAACATATCTAGCTATTATGGATGGATGTGGACAAGTGCCAGTTAGGGAGATTGGCCATATTTGGAGATAAGTGCTAAAGCAGTGCTCAAGTTAGCACAGGCACTAATCCCCAATAGTGGAGAAAGACTGAGAGCAGAGGGACTATTCCATCCACATATTAATACAATACTGTACAGAGCCCATAAAAGTCAGCTATGGGCAGCAGGTCTTATGTCTCAGATACCCACATAGACTATCTTCCTGCTCAGCCTCTCTGCCCATCAGTGCTCTCTCTGTTTTCCTCCCTCTGCTAACCCCATCTGTTCTTTATGACCTATTAGGACATTGTTCTCAGGATCACTTAATCTCCTCCAACTCAAAATGAAGAGCCTTGTTCCAGTCCTTCTTATTCCTAGCCCAGCTGTGTTTGGTCTGCAGACTTAGTAAAGAAAGCTGGATAAAGAATGTGCTGAGTTACTCTAAGAGACTCTAGATGAGCCCACTCTGATAAAGCTGAGACAGAGCCCTGAGCCAGATAAGATATGGGAGGGGAGCACAAAGGGAAAAGTGTGCTAACATTCCCTGTGGAGAGTGCAGTACACTGGGTCATTTAGATATCGTATTAATAAAGCAGATCTAGTGTCTGATGATTTTATTTTAGTTAAAACTCTTTCTAAAACAGTGGCTAAGAGCTCCTATATGTATGGGGCACTGGCCCTTCAAACACTATGTTTTCCAAAACTAATGAGTCGGGGACCAGAACCAAATAACCTGCCAGTCTATAATACAGAGATCATACATTACAAAGTGCAGACCAGGCTTGGATTTTCATGCTATAGAGGCTCTCCTAGGAAAATAAGAGTGGGAGACTCAATCAACTTTGTTGTGCCCTAATTTCCTCATCTTTCAAATGAGCTAATTAGAATAGATGATCTCTAAAGATCCCGCTTGGCTCCAAACTTATGCTTCCATGAAATACTCAAAAAAACAACTTTTTTATTATGGAAAAATTTAAAAGACATAAAAAGTAAAGAACAATGTAAGGAACTCTCAAGTACCAATCACTCCACTTCAACATATGTCCAATCTTTTTTACCTAAATCCCTACTTATGCCCCACACTTCCCCACTGCCATGCATTATTTTCAAGCAAATCCAAGACATCTTGTGAAGTATGTTCTAACAAATTCTCTTGGATCAAAGTTGATATAGATCAGATAAAATGGGTCCACTTTTCCTGGATACCTTCTCTTACTGCAATTGCAAACACAACCATTAAGGTATTAAAGTAAGCTTGGATCAGCATTATGGGATGCTAACTCATATGCAGAATGAACCCAGTCATATTCACTAAAAGAAGAGCTACCTTTAATTAGCACTTGCTACTTTCCAGGTATTGTTGTGTTGTATTAGTTATCTATTGCTGTGTAACAACTTAACCCAAAATTTTGCTAGGAAGAAGAAACATTTACTATCTCATAATTTCTGCAAGTAAAGAATCCAGGGATGGCTTAGCTGGGTGATTCTGGCTCAGGGTCTGTCAGGAAGCTGCAATGAAGGTGTTGGCTGGGGCTGAAGTCATTTTAAGGCTCAATTTGGGGAGGATCTACTTCCAAACTCATTCACAGGGCTGCCTAATGATATGGTAGCTGGCTTCCCCAAGAGCAATCCAAGACGACGAAAGAGAGAATCCAAGACTCAAGCTACATACGGTCTTTCATAATCTCATTTTGTTAGAGACATCCCATCGCTTTTGACGTATTCTGTGTGTTAAAAGTCTCTCAATAAGTCAACCTCACACTCAACAGGCGGTTATAAATACCAGGCAGCAGGGATTGCTGTAAATCATACTGTGAAGCTGCCTACGACATGTGCTGAGTACTGATTATTATTTTATTTTTTTTAATTTTTTTTTTTTTGAGACAGAGTTTCACTCTGTTGCCCTGAGTAGAGTGCCCTGGCATTGGTCTAGCTCACAGCAACCTCAAACTCCTGGGCTCAAGCAATCCTTCTGCCTCAGCATCCCAAGTAGCTGGGACTACGGGCCTGCACCACAATGTCCAGCTATTTTTCTATTTTTAGTAGAGACGGGGTCTCGTTCTTGGTCAGGTTGATCCTCCTGCCTCAGCCTCCCAGAGTGCTAAGATTACCGGCGTGATCCACTGCATCTGGCCTTGAGTATTGATTATTGAACTGGTCTGTTTAATGTTTATAGCTTATTGTAAATTAATAAATGATCTTACTTCTTTATGAGTATCATTCTACCCACTTTACAAGCAAGGAAAAGTTATGTAACTTGCCCAAGGATGGAGTGGAAGAAAGCGAGGGAAGCACAGGCTGATTTATGCCAGTCATTCATCAATTATTTTTTGAGCGACTACCATATATGGTTTACTCCGCTAGGTTCTAGGCATCTGGAAGAGAACATGACATGTGAACACACATACGTAACAAAGATTACCCCTACACTCACAGGCAATGTTTAGAAGTTTTGAAGAGAACGAATAGAAAGATAAAAATGATATAGCACGCTACAGCACTAAAGCTGGCTACCTAAAATATCTTGTGTAAGAAAATTTTCAACATTTCCATTCAACTCCTTTGCACTGCAGACCCACAGAAATCTGCAGTGACTATGCCCAGTCAGAAAGCAGCAAGAAACTAATTTTTGCTAGAGTATCTGTATTCCCCTTTTCAATGGGCTGATTCTTCTTATGCATTCTTGCCTCTGCTATGTAAGGCTCAACAGAAACCGTGGCACTATAATAATTACAACAATTATGTTGTTATTGGGCTCTCCAACTCTCTTTCCACTTTTTAGACAAATATTTACATATTAGAAATTAAAATGAACTTTTTTCAGTCCTGAGCCCCTAAGAGTGCTGTTGAGAAGGGTGCTGAATCAAGAACTCCCAGACCTAAGCACAGCTTCCTCAAATGAAAAATTAGGCCCAAAACATACAAGTTCATTCTATGAGATTCTGGGTGGAAAATGGCAATGAAAAGTGATGGCAAATCTATAGGACAATTAAAATAAAAATTTAAAATAAAATTAAATTACAAATTAAATAAAATTAACTTTCTCACAATTAAAATAGTGAGAAAAATTCTCAAATCCCACATTGTAAAGAAAGAAAAATCAATCAAGGGGAAGATTGATACTGATTCCATCCATTTTTCATTTCCGTGAGTGCAAAACAAAAACCTAAGAAGAAAAAACTGAGAAAAGAAGAACAAACGCTCAATTTCTGAGTGTTAATAAAAGGTACCTATTAAGAAATCTTGCCTATATTAAATAATTTTAGCTAATAATCAATTTGCATTTTGGGAAGAATATGTCCACAAACTAAATTTCAAAATATTAGATCCTTTTAAAAACTTCTGCTGTCCAGACTGTCGTGTCAAATTGACAACAGTGCATTTATGACCCACGTCTAATCTCACACTTTTTAGCTGAATTACAGATTTAATAAGGAGAGAGTAATTCTCAGGAAAATGACCATTATGTATGTGAATACTCACCAGATATGCACAAATCTTACCAGTTCTAATTCTCACCTTCCACGGAATCTGTGAAGTCATTCGCCAAGTTTTTTATTCCCAGGAGGTAAACAAGTTCTCTTAATTTATTTCAAAACATTTGTTTCTTCCTGAACTAGTTTTTATTCTTTCTCACTTACTGTGATAACTTAAAAACGTCCAAACACAGCTTGCAAAATTTGCGTTACAGCAAAACGACCCTGCAGGTGTCTGTGTCGATAAGGAGGCTACACTTAGAAGGCGAGAGGGTACTGATTATCTAAATGAGCGATTTCCACATTTGGAATCCCATCCTGAAATCTCGGCACAAGTAGCGAAAGCGAGCGTGACCAATGACTCACACCCGCTGTAGCCAAGGGGCTTCGGGAAGCGCCAGCCCGCGGGGCTCTCCCGGGCCTCAGAGCCCCCAAGTCAGGCGTGGAAATTCTAACTCCCACTCTGGGAAGGAAACTGCGTTCCTCCCGACACACTCCTCAGTGACCTTCAGCCACCTGGCCTCACTTTCTCTGTCTCTCAAAACCCCCAGAGGAGCAGCCGCCACCTGCCTGAGGCCAAGGCAATAAGCCCACACCACACGAAGAGCCTGAGCCCCGCAGGAAGGGGTGCAAAGCAGCGCCCTGAGCGCTTCCTTTCAGCTCCGTTTCTGCTCGACCCGCCACGCGGACGCAGAAGAGGGCCTCCCACGCCGGGGGCTGACCCCGCCAGGGTCGCGCAGTGATGGGCGGAAGGGAGCCGAGGCCGCGCGGCTGCGGCCCTCCCTGGGGCGGGGCTTGAGCGCCGCACCGCCCCCTTCTCCACCCCTCCCCCACGCCCTTTCCACCCGCCCCCGCAGTAGGAAAGGGAGAGGGACAGGGAGAGGGAGAGGGAGGGGGCAAGGAAAGTGCTGTTCTGTGGAAAGGGGCGGAAGGAGGGGGAGGAAAAAAGGGAACAGAAACATGGCGGTCAGCTGTCGGGACGGCGGCGCGGCGGGCAGCTCCTAGGATACCTGCCGCCCGCACCGCACTGCAGCCCCGAGAGCCGAGGCGCCGGCGCCGGCTCGCGCTCGGGGCCGTTACCCCTGGCTGCGGGCGGCGCCCCTCGGGACCCGGCCCGAAAGGCGGCGCAGGCGCAGATCGGGCGGTAGCGGCGGCTGCCGGAGCAAGTCCCCTTTCCTGCCCCGCCAGGGCGCTCAGGCCGCGGACTCGCGCTCGCATGCCCCAGGAAGGAGCTGTGTCGGGGTGGCGCTGACGGAGGAGCGGGCGGCAGGTGAGGCTGCGGCGCGGGGCCTTTCGCGGAGAAGCCCTGCGCGGTGCCTTCGCGGGGGCCCGCGCTCTGAGGCTGGCAGGGTGCCGGGCAGGTAGCAACAGGGAAGGCAGAGTTCCCAGTGGCCGGCCTGAGGAGGGTCGCCGAGGAGGCGGAGAGTGGCGGGGGCTGGCATTCCCGGCCTAGTTTCTCCGCGGTTTCCGGGGGCGGGGAGTCCCCGGAGCCTGCGGGATGTGCCGGGGGAGAAGCTGCTCCTGGAAGGGCCTTCCCGCGCCGCCGCCTGGGCCCGAGAACCACTTTCATGTCAGCGCGAGGGGTTTGGGCCCTGAGGGACCTCCTGGGTGGGGGTAGGCTGGGGAGGGCGCGGGATCGGGGTTCCCTCGGGGGAGCAGGGGCTGAGAGGGCAGAGAGCTGGGGCCAGGGGTGGGGAAGCGTCTCGGGAGGGGTCGGGGCACCAAGGGGCTCGGGGGACTGCGTGGGGAGAAGAGGGGACCTGGGCAGGTGTCGCAGGAGAATCGAGGACATTTCCTTCTTTGCCTTACGGTGGCCAATCCTACGGGCTTCTTTGTCGGGGATGACTTTTAGGAAGGCGGGTTCCTTTCAACTCCAGAGTGACTAAACAGATACAAAACCAACTAATGAGCTCCTAGTGCTGACTCTTGCAAAGAGCTGTAACTTCTTTTGCCTTGAAGATGCTGTCATGTCTTTTTTCCTCCTTTTTCTTTTCCTTCATAGGTCTTTTCCCTCCCGAAGACAGTGCTTAATCAGAACAAATAAGGAATGACCTAGTTTTTAAATAGTACCCCCTCCTCCTTCCAATATTGTGTTTGTTTCACACGGGAAAATTTAGGACAGTTACCAGAGTTATTTGTGCAAGTGTAAGGGAAAGTGTCATCTGCAGTAGTGAATGAACCCTTAGCTGTCTCTGTACTCCTGCCTCAGAGAGATTGTCAAGCTTTGTAGCCCGAGAAGTTGACCTTTTGATCCTGCTTAATTGTGTGCAAACCCCCGTTGAGACTCATTCTTCCCAGAACCCAATTTACGTTGAAGTAGGTCTTCCCTCCTGGTCTGGGTATAGTAGGAAAGAGGAGGATGTTATTGCTAAGATGCTAAGTTTTCAATAAACATTTGATTTGAGGTGATCATGTGTATTAAGCTATCTGAAATGCAGAGTGTTGTATGATTTTTCTGTGTTCACGCCATAAGAGCAAAATTAGTTGCAAAAGGAAAACTTTATCTCAGAGCATTAAATGATACCTGTTCTTGGTCACTGTAACCATGGAAGAAACCCTTATACTTTCTGCCCTGTTCTTTGTATTACTGTTAAGAATTGGTAAATTGCCTTGTTTTGGTGTAAGACTGGGAACTCAGCAATGAACTTAAATTTGTATTCATGAACATGATCTGCCCTTCATATAGGCTTACTTTGACTTATTTTTCTGGTAATGGCAAAGGGTTTTCAGCCACTCGGTCCACACTTTCCCTTCATTGGTATCTTTGCAAACATTTTGCAACGTAGTTGATGAGTTTGGGGACGAATCTTTTGTATTATCTATTTTAGTGAACTTGATCATATGTTAGTTGACTTTGGCCACCTCGTATAGTTTACAGTACTACTTTAGACTTTTTGATTTGGGTAATAGAAAAGCTATGGTGTTAGAAATGGTAAAGTTGTGTATTGGAGTAATTTACTCCTGTATAATTCATAAATGAGTGCATTCTATTTTTGAGAGTAAATACGGTATTTTGTAGTATAAACTTGAGCTTTTAGTTGAAGAAATTGGCAGTAGAATTGTGTGGAGACTGTTCTTAAAATGCAAATATTTTACATTACAAGGAACTGCAATAGTGTGTAGGCTGTAACAACTCATGGTGCCAGACTTGGAAGGTTATTTGGTTGAGATGCTCTCTGTAAAGAAACATGTTAAGTATATCTGCAATAAAAGCTAATTTGTAGCTATACACTAGAGATTTTGCATGATAAATAATAACTCAATAAGACACCTTTGCTCTTTAGGTATCCGCCAGTTAGGACCAAAACATCTCATATTTTCATTGGAGTTTCCTGTCAAGACAAATACTGGTTTTGCATTGGCTTTGCTGCTCAATTTGGAAGTTAGGTTTCAGTCTTATGTTTGCATCTTAAGTACAGGTTGTAAAGTAAAAAAGAATGGTGTTGAGTCAGTGGTAGATTGTTTCATTTGGTCTTTCTGATTTGCAATGTGGAATTTCTGTCATAATTTGAATTTCCAATATAATATGCTTGCTGAAGCTTAGATAATAAGGGCAAATTAGCTTTTCCTACTACATGAATTAAAATATTATCTTCTTTAGGCTGGTATCACAAATTGTACCTCCTCTTTCAGATTTGTCCGTTTGGCAGATAGACTTGTAGTAATGGAATGCCTTGTTGAAATGGGAAATTCCTTTATAAGAGTTAAAACTTGGAAAAAGAATTTCACATAGTACCCTGGCATGAAACAGATCTTTAGCATCAGTTTCAAAATTCAAAATTAGGTAATTTTATTACTTGAAATTTAAAACAGTATTTTGTTGGAAGAAATTATTTATAAACTTGAAAACATTTTCTACATTTTTAAGTATATGGGGGTAATAGAGCTTAATGTGGTATTTGAAATTTTTTTATTGCAAAAATACAACATGATTTAAAAAAAGAAAAATTTTTGATTATTCCCACATATCTAACATTTACGTTTTTCTGTACTCTAATCCTGTTATACTTGTATAATATAGTAATTAGTATAAAATACTGATCCTATATATACTTGTGTATAGTTCTGTGATTAATGTTCATGTAATTGTCTTTTTAAACCTAACATGTTTTCCCTGGTGCTGCATATTACTGTTATTTTATGGCTTTTTATGGCTTTTTTTTTTTCCATATCTTAACATTTTAGTAATTCCAGTTTTTTACTCTTAAAATAATGCAATAATGAAATCATTTTGCTAATATGATGGTCCATGCCAAACTACTTTTTGAACTTTTGAAAAAGTCACCTTCCTTTGAACTGCTTCATTTGCTGTGGATCATTAGAGCTACTACAATGTAGTATTGAGTTGAGAACGGAATTGAAACAAAATAAAAGACCATAGATGTTCATCTGTGACTTGAATTCATTGAGTAGGAATTAAAATATAAATGCATAATTCTCCTGTTACTGAATTACTATAAGTTTCTGTGTCCATTAACTTTACTTTTATATGAAATAATATAATTCTTATATTTCAGTAATATTGTGAGTGTTAAATATTTTTAAGTGTTCCTTGTTGCAGCCAAACCTAATATCTACAAATCCAGATTTACTATCTTTTGGGTTCTAGAAGAGTCATCTTATAGGGTTTTAAAAATCTTTGTAATATTTTAAAGTATTCCTTGAATTTAGTTTTTTATTGTGTATGTGGAAGTTCATTTATCTCTTAATTTAGGAAAGCTTAGATCCTAAAAGCATAAATGTTGTAAGTCTTTTTTTTTTTGAGACAGAGTCTCACTGTGTCGTCCTGGGTAGAGTGCAGTGGCGTCATCATAGTTCACTGCAACCTCAAACTGCTGGGCTCAAGTGATCCTCCTGCCTCAGCCTCCCAAGTAGGTGGGACTACAGGTGCGTGCCCGGATGCCAGGCTAATTTTTCTATTTTTAGTAGAGACTGGTCTTGTTCTTGGCCTCACTGGTCTCCAACTCCTGAGGTCAAGCAGGCCTCCTGCCTCGGCCTCCCGGAATGCTAGGATTATAGGAGTGAGCCTGTAAGTCTATTTTTAAATTATGGATAAAAGGATCTTTTAAAGAGTTACTGTTCTATCTGCTAGGGATAGGAAGATGAATAACATAACATAAAAAGGTGAATGTTAAGGTCTAAGGAAAACAGTCTTACAAATAAGTACCATAACTATAACATAACAAATATAGAATAGAGCCAAAGATGCTACAGGAGCAGAGGGAAACACCTAACTGTGGTGTGGATTAGAGATGGTTTACGTAGAAGATGTTTGATTTAAAACTCAAAAGAATCCGTTGGGCGAGTTAGCTGACACCTGGAATCCTAGCACTTTGGAAAGGTGGGAGAATCGCTTGAGATGAGTCCAAGCAACATAGACCCTATATCTCTACAAAAAAATAGAACAATTAGCTGGGCACGATGAGGTGCACCTGTAGTCTCAGCTACTTGGGAGACTGAGGCAGAACTTGAGCCCAGGAGTTGGAGGTTGCAGTGAGCCGTGATGATGCCTGCTGTACTCTAGCTGGGGCAACAGGGTAAGACCCTGTTCCAAAAAGCATACAAAACCTCAAAGAATACTGTGAAAAGGCACAAAGTAATGAAAGAATGTGGCAGTTTTTATTAAAATGCAGTTGATTTAGAGGGAAGTGGATACAAAGCTGGAGGGGTATGTAGGAGCTGTGTAATAAAGGGGTATGTAGGAGCTGTGACTTTTTATTTAAAGTCAAATAAAAAATTAAGACATTACGTTGTAGGGAACAGGGAGCTATTTAAAGATTTTAAACTTAAATATCATTGGCTCCATTATGAAGGAGGGATTGGGAGAGCAGCTTGGGTGAGACTTCAGGTTCATCATCTAGAAAATCTCGAAGACATCTATGCAAGAATTGAGAATAGCAGTGTAAGGATAGAAAAAATGGATAGACTTGAGAAGTATTATATGATGCAAACATTTTCCTCTGGCCCACAGGCCCTATTTCTTTAGCTGTGTCGTCTCCCTGCTCACTGTGCACCTATCACACCAGCCTACTTTCTGGTTCTTTCTCTCTCAGAGCCTTTGCATATGCGATTACGTTTGCATGCTGCTTTTTCTGAGAGGTCTTTCCTGATCACACTGTCTAGTTAGGGAGGTCAGTTTTTTTTTTTTTTTCCATGCCCAGCTAATTTTTCTATTTTCTGTAAAGCCACCGTGCCTGGCTACTTTTCTTATTTTCTTACCTCTCCTGCTTTCCTCTATTTTCTTCTATGCTTTTGTTAAAAATCTCAAAG